GATGGGCATCCAGAGCAGTTGCAGTGTGGTCTGGAGTTTGGGGGAAGGCTCCTTATTCTGGAGCTGGAGAAAAACCAGTGAGTTTGACAAATGTTGAAATCTCTCTGACCTTTGCCCTCTCTCCCTCTGACCTTTGATGGAACAGAGTGTTTTCAGTTTGAGAGAAGAACTCAGCCTAAATGTGCAGGGTTTGTGTTAAACATGTGTAAATGAAACAAAGCACAACTCCAGGTCTGTTTGTGACGAGGAAACTCCATTAGAACAGATCAGAAAATAGCCTAATATGGGCCTTTGATTTGAGTTTTTTGGGCTTTTGGAGCTTTTGAGCCTTAAATGTGTTGTTCACACCAACACTATTTTTTCACTATATATGTATGTATTTCACTTCAAATACACACATTCATAGAAGAACACAAACAGAGCAGATTCCATGGAGTTCGTTCATGTGTGCTTTGCTGTAGTGACCGGTGTTTGTGCCATAGACGTCAGCTCCAATGAAGCTCACGAGGAATTGGAATTTATAAGAGTAGGAATTTTATTAATGGACAAAATGGCGAAATACAAACCCTAGGATCTTTGCCCTCCGTGTGAGCATACAGCGTGACCTTTGCCCTCTCTCTCCTCAGTCTTCTTCTGCCCAAACAGCCTTCTGTGTTCTACTACCTCCCCAACGGGACAGGGCTGTCCCTGCAGGAGCACCCCGTGGTGAGTGCAGCACACACTAAGACATGTTAAGTCCTGGTTTAGTCTTGGTTTAAACCCGGTCTTTCCTGAGTTTCAGACACACTGCTTTTACCATGGCAGAGTCCGGGGCCTCCCTGAGTCCAGAGCTGCCCTCAGCACCTGCTCCGGCCTTAGGTTAGTCTCTGCTGCTGTGCTTTTAGGCAAGACACTTCTGCTGCTCCTTGTGTGTGAGTGTGATTCTGTATTGAAGGTGTCACATTTCCCTCTGTCTGTCTCGGGGAAGCTGTGAGCTAAGGAAAAGTATAAGAAGTACTCAATAAGTGACCACATTAAAAAGAGATGCCAAACTAGTAGTGAAACTAGTGAACTCATTAGAGCAGGTATCAATATTAAAAAGTCCTATTCACAGGACAGAAAAGAACCTTTAGAATGATGTTGTTCTGTATCAGAACAAGTGTCAGAGCACATAGACTAGTACACACATGGACCAACATGAACCTACTGCACCACTGACCATTACATACATATAAGACACATGGGAATAGAAAAGGTAGTATTGCCATAATATTGTAATAATAACGTAATACCATAATACCATTTAATATTGAAAATCACATTCTAGTGTTTTTTTTTATTTTTTTTTTATTTTTTTATTATCAACGTAGTATCAGAATCGGTATTGTGTACTGAATCAAACAAATTAAACACAGGAAATGTGTTTTTATGTCACTGGCTTTTTCTATAATTTAAACATGACTTTACGTCCGTGTTCCAAACATAGACTGTACATATACTTGGACTTAGCTAACACACTAGCCACCGCGTTGCAAATAGGAAGTTCACATACGGCTCTTCTGATTCCTTCTGACTCTGACTCCTCTTGACTTACACTGGAAAGTTGTGGTCCCTCTCTCTGTACCTGCTACTGTGAGCCTCGTCATTTTGGTCTTAAAATGTTCATATGAACCCACTCTACATGATCCCGGTGTTTTTATTTCACTATTTATCCGTCAAAAAATCCTATTCATAATATAGAGTCTGGCTCCAAATTCTCCCCTGTAACCTTGAACATCACAAACTTCATTTGAGTGGAGCCAAACGCTGTGGGTCACGTCACACTCTCTTAGTCCACTTCTTTGGTTCAGACCTGGCTCTGGTTCAGACCTGGCCCAGGTTCAGACCCGGTTCTGGTTCAGACCTGGCTCTGGCTCAGACCCTTCTTGTTTGGGACAGGGGGGTGATCATTCTGAATGCAACGCTGAGTCTGGAGCTGCAGCCTGAGGAGCAGGAAACAGGAAGTAAGGTGCTGGAAACAGGAAGTTGCAAGGAACCTGATGTGCTGCACCTGCTGTTCTCCTCAGGACCAGCAGAAGGTGCTAGAGAGACCAGCTGTGGAGTCACTCACACTGCACCCCCCACATCCCCACAACAACACCACCGGGTAAACAGGACTGAACCAGGACTATAACAGGACTGAACCAGGACTATAACAGGACTGAACCAGGACTATAACAGGACTGAACCAGGACTATAACAGGACTATAACAGGACTAAATGAGAAACAACCCAGGACTAAACTGTTGTGTGTCTCTAGAGGAGGAGGGACGTTCTGACAGAGACCAAGTACATTGAGCTGGTTCTGGTTGTGGATCATCAGGAGGTGAGTTCAAACTGCAGTTCTATAACTTTACCATAATATTATTTGTCTATATTGACCCCTGAAGTGAGTGAGTGGAGTGAGTCATCTTTATTCTCCGGGATTTAAAACGTCTTTGCTCCGATCTCCCCCTGTTTTCAGCTCCACTGGTACAAGCCCACTGTAACATACACTATGACGTACACTGTGACGTACACTATGACGTACACTGTGACGTACACTATGACATATACTGTAACGTGCACTGTAACATACACTATGACGTACACTGTGATGTGCATTGTGACGTACATTGTGACGTACACTGTGACGTACACTGTGACGTACACTATGACGTACACTGTAACGTACACTGTAACGTACACTGTAACGTACACTGTGACGTACACTGTGACGTACACTGTGACGTACACTATGAAGTACACTGTAACATACACTGTAACATACACTGTAACATACACTGTAACATGCACTGTAACATACACTGTAATGTGCACTGTGACATACACTGCGATGTACACTATGATGTACACTGTAACGCACACTGTAACATACACTGTAACATGCACTGTTACATACACTTTGACCTACACTGTAACATACACTATGACGTACACTATGACGTATACTGTAACGTACACTGTAACATACACTATGACGTACACTGTGACGTACATTGTGACGTACACTATGACGTATACTGTAACGTACACTGTAACATACACTATGACGTACACTGTGACGTACACTGTAATATACACTGTGATGTACACTGTGATGTACACTGTGACGTACACTGTGACGTACACTATGACGTACACTGTGACGTACACTATGACGTATACTGTAACGTACACTGTAACGTACACTGTGACGTACACTATGACGTACACTGTGACGTACACTATGACGTATACTGTAACGTACACTGTAACGTACACTGTAACATACACTGTAACATACACTATGACGTATACTGTAACGTACACTGTAATATACACTGACGTACACTGTGACGTACACTGTGACGTACACTATGACATATACTGTAACGTACACTGTAACATACTCTATGACGTACACTGTGACGTACACAGGGATGTGCACTGTGACATACATTGTGACATACACTGTGACCTACACTGTGATGTGCATTGTGACATACACTGTGACGTACACTTTGACCTACACTGTGACATACATTGTGACGTACACTGTGACCTACATTGTGACGTACACTGTAACATACACTATGACGTACACTAAGATGTACACTGTAACGTACACTGTAACGTACACTGTAACATACACTATAACGTACACTGTAACGTACACTGTAACGTACACTGTGATGTACACACACTGTGACGTACACACACTGTGACGTACACACACTGTGACGTACACTGTGACGTACACTGTGATGCACACTGTGTCGTACACTGTGTCGTACACTGTGTCGTACACTGTGACGTACACTGTCTCGTACACTGTGACGTATACTGTGATACTGATAACTTCACTCTGGGAGAATTCTGACCAAAAGTTCAGCACAATTTATACTTAGAAAACCTAAAAGAAAAATCTGAAACCAAAAAAATGACCAAACTGGGGGGAAAAAGTGAGTTTAATAAATTAATGGTCATTTAGTTAAATGTGTAGTCCAAACTGTCACTTGCACTTTTATGTGGAACTCATACTAAAAGAGAACATTTAGCCGACAGCCTGAAATCTACTCAGTTCTCATCTCTCTCAGCTCAGATTGTCTTCCGTCTCAGTTGATCTAGACCATACTTTGTACTTGTGTTTTAAATTGAATCTCTCTTTTCTGTCCAGTTTCTCAACTATCAGAAGAACAACAAGACCATCATCTACCGCATGCTGGATGTGGCCAACCAGGTCGACTGGGTAAGACTCAGACTCTGGTCCAGTCCTGGTTTAGTCCTGGTGTAGTCCTGGTTTAGTCCTGGTTTAGTCCTGGTCTATTCCTGGTTTAGTCCTGGTCTATTCCTGGTTTAGTCCTGGTCTAGTCCTGGTTTAGGTCCTGGTTTAGTCTTTGTCTAGTCTTAGTCCTTGTGTCAGTTTTACAGACCTCTGAACGTGCGTGTAGCCCTCACTGGTCTGGAGATTTGGAGTGACAGAGACAAAATCCACATCGAGAAGAATCCCACTGAAACGCTCCACAACTTCCTCCAGTGGAGATCTAGAGACCTGTTGCCTCGTATACGGCACGACAATGCCCAGCTCATCATGTACGTAACCACGGCAACACCCAGCTCATGTATTTAACCTCATCAACGTCCAATTCATCATGTATGTTACCACGGCAACAATATGTGTAGCCCTCTGAACTGAATTCTACACAGTTTGCTGAAAGTGATCAGGAAAACATGGAAAAACATGTTTTGTGTAATACTTGAATCTGATTGGTTGCAGCATCACAACAGCAAAACAAGCCTCAGAGCTGCTCTGTGATTGGTCACAGAATAGGAGTATCTGGAAGACTTTGATTTTGTCAACTCACAGATATCAGAGAATTCATCCTTCCGGCAGGTTCAGGGCTTGGTGTCTATGTCATGTCACTCAGTGGTGCATTCAGGGCCTTGTATATGTCATGTCTCTGTGTTGTGTTCAGGGCCCTGTGTGTGTGTGTGTGTCATGTTTCTCTTGTGTTCAGGGCCCTGTGTGTGTGTGCATGTATGTATGTATGTATGTGTGTGTGTGCGCACGGAGGTGTGTGTGTGCATGTGTGTATGTGTGTACATGTATGTGTGTGTCATGTTTCTGTTGTGTTCAGGGCCCTGTGTGTGTGTGTGTGTGTGTGTGTGTGTGTGTACATGTATGTATGTATGTGTGTGTGCGCACGGAGGTGTGTGTGTGCATGCGTGTATGTGTGTACGTGTATGTGTGTGTCATGTCTCTGTGTTGTGTTCAGGGCCCTGTGTGTGTGTGTGTGTATGTGAGTGCTTGTGTGTGTGTGTGTGTCATGTCTCTGTGTTGTGTTCAAGGCCCTGTGTGTGTTGTTTTTAACATTTGTGTCATGTTGCGTTCAGGGGCGGCTCGTTCGATGGCACCACGGTGGGGATGGCGTCTCAGAGCTCCATGTGTTCCAGAGATCGCTCTGGAGGAGTTAACGTGGTGTGTCTTTTATTCTTCTCTTCCATTAGCTGTGACTGAATGTCTCCTGTGGCCCATAACCCCTCACTCACTCACTCACTCAGTGCTCTAAACTCAGTGTGTCACTGTGCGGTTGCTGGTTCTATTCCAGGACCATTTGGTGAGTGTTCTGGGCGTGGCCTCCACAGTGGCTCATGAGCTCGGACACAACCTCGGGATGAGCCACGACTCTGCAGAACGCCGCTGTCAGTGTGACAGCGAGGGGCAGAGCCACAGCTGCATCATGGAGCCCTCCACCGGGTAAGACCGGACAGGTCAGGTTAGTCCTCTGTTAAACCTGGTTTAGTCTCTGGTTTAGTCCTGGCTTAATCCTGTTTTAGTCTTGGTTTAGTCCTGGTGTAATCCTGGTGTAATCCTGGTGTAGTCCTGTTTCAGTTCTGGTTTAGTCTTGGTTTAGTCCTGGTTCAGTTCTGGTTTAGTCTTGGTTTAATATTGGTTTAGTGCTGGTTCAGCCCAGTTTCAGCCCCCCTTCCTCTCCTCCATCTCTCCCCCTTTTCCTTCTCCTCCTCTCTCCCTCTCTCCCTTGTTTTGTCCCTTGTTCTCTCTCTCTCTACCTTCTCCTCCTCTCTCCCTTTCTTTCTTTCTCTCTTTCTCCATGTCTCCACAGGCTCCTCCCAGGTCAGAGCTTCAGCAGCTGCAGCCTGGAGGACCTGAGCTTCAGCCTGCTCCATGGGGCAGGCATGTGTCTGTTTAACGTGCCGAGCCCTGAGAGCCTTTTGGGGGGGCCGCGCTGTGGGAACCTGTACTTGGAACCTGGAGAGGAGTGTGACTGTGGCCTCCTGCAGGTATCACTCTGATGTGGATGGTGTGATTGGCTGATTTTAAAGCCCGTCTCTCCTCTGCTCGGTCAGGAGTGCCTGGACCCCTGCTGTAACGCCTCCACGTGTCGCCTGGTCTCTGGAGCTCAGTGTTCGTCTAATGGCGTCTGCTGCTCTGACTGTCAGGTCAGAAAACAGTCTGTCGCTCACACTGCTCCTGCACCTTTTTATTGTGGACTCCCAGGAATAGTCAGAACCATATCCTGTATCTATCCCACTAGCCGCGCCTGCCAAACAGGAAGTGAGCATGGGTATGCTTGTGGCTCCAGTTCACTTTGTATTGAAAAGCCTCTCTCTGTATCTGCTGCTGTCAGGCTCCTCATTCTGACCTTAAAATGTTGATTTGAACCTGCTCTACATGATCCTGGACATGATCAAGATAAGAACATTAACAGCAGACCAGCCAGGCTCCTTCTTTCCCTGAGCTCACTCCCGCTAAAATTAGCAACAGGTTTGACTGACACCTGTTCCCTGCTGAACCGGTGATGTGGGCGGGAAGGGACACTGCCTTCAACAACTCACTCCTGATTACTTGCAGTTGAAAATGATATTCCATATATATTCTATATGGAAATGTGCTCCCGATTATTCACTATGACTGCTAACCTCAGTCAGCTTCATTTGGAACTGAGTGTTGTGGGTGACGTCACACTCACTTCTGTATACAGTGTGTGGTTCTAACCCCTCTTTCCCCTCAGCTGCGTGCGGCCGGCTATGTCTGCAGACTGCCCCTGGGCGAGTGTGACCTCCCTGAGTTCTGCAGCGGCACGTCTCCTCACTGTCCCCCCAACGTTTACCTCCAGAACGGAGAGCCCTGCCTCCAGGGGGCGTCCTACTGCTACGGAGGAGTCTGTGCCACTCTGGACCAGCAGTGCCAGATCCTCTGGGGCCCCAGTGAGTCCGGCTCGAGTCGGGTTTTGACCTGGTTTAGTCCAGTGTCTGGTCTGGGTCTAGTCCTGGTAATGCTGCTTTAGTCCTGGTCTTGTCTTGGTTTAGTCCTGGTTCAGTCCTGTTTAGTCCTGGTGTAGTCTTGGTTCAAACCTTGTTTACTCCTGGTTTAGTCCTGGTCTAGTCTTGGTTTAGTCCTGGTTTAGTCCTGGGTCTAGTCCTGGTCTAGTCTTGGTTTAGTCCTGGTTTAGTCCTGGGTCTAGTCCTGGTCTAGTCCTGGTTTAATCCTGGTTCTTCACAGATTCGACGCGGGCTCCAGACGTGTGTTTCTCATCGGTGAATAAACAGGGAAATCAATTTGGAAATTGCGGCCAACTCAGTAACGGCTCCTACCTACCCTGCCCTGACCAGTAAGTACTACTATTACTACTACTACTATTACTATTACTGTTATTACTACTACAAATACTACAGCAGATAGACAAATAGTGCTGCTGTACTGCTCCCTGTACTCCCACAGGGACGTGCTGTGTGGGCGTGTGCAGTGTCGCGGAGGAACACAGAGGCCCCTCCTGAGCTCTGCAGAGATCCTGACCACCACAGTGCACTCAGACCTGGACGAGGATCTAGACCTGGTGTGTAGAGGGACCTACCTCCACCTGGGACAAGATGTCTCTGACCCTGCCTCTGTGTCCCCAGGGACCCGCTGTGGACCAGGCAAGGTACACCACAGCCACCTGGTTTAGTCCTCAGACTTGGTTTAGTTTAGTCCAGATTTACCACTGGTTTACTCCTGGTTTATTACTGGTTTATTCCTGAATCAGACCTGGTTTAATCCTGGTTTAGTCCTGTGGTTTGTGTTTCAGGTGTGCCTGGATCAGAGGTGTCAGGAGGACTCTGTGTTCAGGGTGGAGGAGTGCCGACAGAAGTGCCACGGTCACGGGGTGAGTCCTGGTCTAGACCTGGTTCGTTTCCATCTTTATGCCTGCAGTCCATATCCTGTATATCTCTGGACATATCTAACCTGCTAACCGCCGTGTTCCAGACAGGAAGTGAGCATGAGGGTGCTTCGTGTTTCAGTGGCTCCTATTCACTTTCTATTGAAAAAGTATGGCCCCTTTCTGTGTAACTGCTGCTGTTTTTGACTTCAAAATCTTGGTTTGAATCTGCTCTATATGATGTGTATCTGGTGTATTTATGTTACTATTTAGTCCCTAAATCAAGATCTGAACATAAATAACAGACCAATCAGGCTCCTTCTTTCCCTGAGGTCACTCCCATTAATGTTAGCAACAGGTTTCATTGACTGTGTTGCGAAATAGAGTCTCTGGTTGCAGATTAACCGATATAACTGCAAGCCTTGATGAGCTTCATTTGGAGCCGAATGTTGTGGGTGACGTCACACTCACTTAGGCCACTTACATACATACAGTCTGTGGCTCAGATCTGATTCAGTCCTGGTTCAGTCCTGGTTCAGGCTCCTGTGTGATCCTTCTTGTGTCCAGGTGTGTAACAGTAATGGAAACTGTCACTGTGACGATGGCTGGGCTCCTCCAGACTGTGTGAGCTCAGGGACCGGAGGGAGCACCGACTCTGGGCCTACCAGGTCCACCAGAGGTCAGTCCTGGTTTAATCATGGTTCAGTGCTGGTTTAGTCCTAGTTAAATACTGGTTTAATCATGGTTCAGTCCTGGTTCAGTCCTGGTTCAGTCCTGCTCTAGTCCTGCTCTCTCTCTGGTCTAGACTCGTCTCCGGTCCGTGTGGCTCTCTTGGTCCTGTTCCTCTTGGTTCTCCCACTGTTGGTCTTGGTTCTGGTTTGGCCTCGAATCCGAAGACTTCTACGACATGGAGCCTTCCCCCAGAGCAAACTGCACCAGCACAGGTACGACCGGCTTTAGCCCAGGTTTAGACCTGGTTTATCCTACGACTTTGACATGGGTTACACTGGGTTTAGAGCAGGTTTAGACCATGTTTAGACTAATTTAAGACTTAAAGAGGCAGTATTCTGCATATTATGAAATCTTTAGCTTTCTCCCACGTTATAATGTTGCTCCTTCTTCAAAAATATGCCTGAAGAGGTTTTAGATGTCATCCATGCATGTTTGAGTATTTTTGCAATCTCTCCTGGCCTCTATTCAAACCCTTCTTATGGTTAGCAGTACGAGCCTGTACAAGGCCACGTCCCCCAGGTTCTCACATGACAGTTTTCCATAAATATACAAAACCATGATACAAAACTGTACACAGCAACATGTGTAAAATCCCACATTTGTCCAGGTAGAATCCATGGCAAAAGAATAAATTCAATTTGTCAACTGGGCAAAAGTTTATTTTGGTTGAATATGTATATATATATATATATATAAGACCCCATACTAACAGACTAACTAACAGAAACTGTAAACAAGTAGGGTTTTAATTTCAGAGTAGTTTCAGTGTAGTTAGCTCCTCCCTGGAGGTAGATATAAGGAAGTGTCCACCAGCGTCTGACTAGAACTGAAGGCGCAGTGGATGACCTGAGAAATGTATTTGACCAAAATAAACTTTTTTCCAGTTGACAAATAAAATTTCTTCTTTTGCCATATGCACAGCAACTGGACAAACTGACTGCGATGCTATAATATAATAATATTAATCCAATGGAGATATGTAGCTGTAAACTGGATGACAGTAGCTCAGTTGGTAGAGCGTTTGTCCACTAGGTTGGCAGTTCTCGACATAAACATCACTGGTTGAACAGTCAGATCCATTGACCCACAGGTTGGCTGGTGTGATTCCAGCTCCCACAAATGAATGCTGCCATTGTGTTCTTGAGCAAGATACTTAACCCACCTCGCCTCCTGTGTGTGTGTACACTAGTGTGTGAGTGTGTGTGTGAATGGGTGAGTGGTTCCTTGTTATAAAGCACTGTGAGCCTTGAAGGTGGAAAAGCGCTGCATAAAAATGTGACCATTTTACATTTAAACTGCTGGGTTGTGTGTTGCTCTAGTATCGAAACTTGATAATCATTTGATTTACATTTTATTCCAAAAAAGTCCCATTGACAGAACAGAAATTACCCTTTTCCTGAATACCTTTAGAATGATAAGTAGTGACAAGTAGAAGAGCACAAAGACTAAGCAAAAGATGTTCATTTTGTCTTCTTATATACTTTAACTTCTTGGGTTCTTTTTAAAGACAATGCAGTAAAGTGTGTTTACCTTGTTGACATGTTTCGGCTGCTAGCTGCAAGCCATCTTCAGAACTGTCACTGGTGTTGGTGGTGACGTGTCGTATATCAGCTGTTGTTACTTCCTACCACCTACCACATTATGGATTGGGACGGGGCTCGGGTCATTGGATCGGAAAACAACAAGTTCAAACGCTGGATCAAGGAGGCCATTGCAATCAGGAAACGAGGCACGGACAGGATTAACCGTGATGACGGCGCGTTCCTCCTTTCACACACCTGGGACACCCTCCTCCAGAGAACACCGGGCGACGGGAGGCGTGGTCAGTCTGAGCGACCTGCCAGGTCCATCAGGCTGACCACGCCTACAGGAAGTAACAACAGCTGATATACGACACGTCACCACCAACACCGGTGACAGTTCTGAAGATGGCTTGCAGCTAGCAGCCAAAACATGTCAACAAGGTAAACACACTTTACTGCATTGTCTTTAAAAAGAACCCAAGAAGTTAAAGCACAAAGACTAGTTTACACCATGGACCTCTATGAAACCTCCCTGCACCACTGACGATTACACACAGATAAGACACATGGGAATAGAAAAGAAAGTCCTATCTTTTAAAGTTGAAAATCTCATTCTATTGTCTAAAGACAGTGTTTTTTTATTATTATCATTGTGGTTTCAGAAGGTCCTGATTGGTCGTCTCCTCCATCACTCTTTCTCTGTTTTAGAACGCCGCGGGGTGACAGGAGGAACGTGGAGCAGGTCATGCCGCTACGTTTTCATGCACTGGCCCCACCACCTGGAGAGGAGATCACAATTCAGGCCCCGCCCCATGCACAGGTAAGTGACTATCCTGACCTCTGACCTCACAGACCTCGAGTTGTGTTTTGTTTCATTCATGTTTAACACACAAACTCCGCACATTTAGGCTGATTTCTTCTCTGAGGCAGAAAACACTTTGTCCCAGTTTGAGGTGTCATGGTGTAAAACAGGAAGTGCTCCAATGCTCTAAATCAGTGGTGCTCAATACGTCGATCGTGATCTACAAGTCGATCGCTAAGGTCGTGTGGGTAGATCACCGTGTCTCGTCTCGGACTCGCGTTTGGACTCGGTCTTGTCTCTCACTCGAAGTCTGACACTCAACAAGTGCGATCATATTTCATTACGGCTGCTGCTGTTGGCAATAAACTTGTAGCGGGGTGCAGGAGCGTGTGGGGCGTCTCAGTGCAGCCTGTGCTCTACAGCACATCACAAACACACACGCTCCCTATGCACAGCTCGTCTGCGACAGCGTGTGCCCTCGTGTACCAGCGTGCATCACAGGGCAGGTTAAACTTCCTAAACATCCCACCTGTCCATCTGCCTCACGTCAGCACACCACCCCTCGCCTTTTCACGCTCTCGCTCCTTCCTGCGTACAGCGAACACAAGCCCCTCCCACAGTGCGCTGATTAGAAGAGCAAGACCAAACGTGAAGCAAAAACGAGTCTAAATTTGTGTTCCAGTGTTGGCACAAAGCAGGTCTACAGCATAGAGCGGATCTACAGAACAGACCTACTGCCACATTTGGCTGAAGTTTGTCTAACAAAAGTGCACAAATGCATCTGTGTTTGTCACAATGTGCGTTTGGTTCGGTAAATGTGCAGAGGCTGGTAAATATCACTGCAAAACCAGAAAAGAATGCAACTCCAGTTTGGAACTTTAAAAAACAGGTTTAAAAATCTTCCTTCACTTTTTTCACAGTTTTGTGTAAATTGCCAGAGGAAGTTCTCTTAAAGAAGAGGTTCTCAAACTGTGGGTGAGGGTCCAAAAAAGGGGCACAGTGTTTCAGTGCAGTTTGTTTGGCTTTGTATTAGGTAGATCATTTTGACTTGATCATTTTGTAAGTAGCTCACATGATGAAGAAGTGTGAGCACCCCTGATCTAAAGCATTTGGAGCTCCAGGTCTGTTTTTGAGGACGTAACAGCATTAGAACATGGCTTAAAGCTACATAATTACACTTGCACAGACAAACATAATGACACAGTCCTGGGCTCGCTATTACTAAAAGTCTAGAAAAATTAGAGCTCCAGACCTCCTGGACCTCCTGGACCTCCTGGACCTCATTACTGTGTACAACTGTGTATCTCTATCATATAAAGAGCAAAGAGTCAAAATAATCCTGACCTCTGATCCTACAAACTCCTGTGACTCATCTGCCTCCCTCCCTCTCTCTCTCTCTCATTCCCTAACTCTCCCCCTCTCTCCCTCTCTCTCTCTCCAGGTCAAAGGGCGACCGGCGGCTCCCTGTAAGCCCCTTCCCCCTGACCCCGCCCATGGCCACGCATCTCAGGTAACATGCACACACACACACACACACCCACACACACACAAACACACACACACACACACACACACACACACACACTCTGCCTTTCTCTCTCACCTTCTCTTCCCTCTCTCCTCCTCCTATTCTCTCTCTCTTCTGTTCTCTCTCTCTCTCTGCACAGAAGCATGCCCCTCCCTCACGACCTTTGCCCCCTGACCCCTGTCTCTTCTCTCAGGTACGTCTCTGACCTTTGGCTTTTGAGCTGCATGTTTCTCTGATGTTTCTCTAACGCTCTGCTAACACGAACCCTTTCAGCTCCAGACTCACAAAGCACCGCCCACAAAGCCCCTCCCCCCTGACCCCGTGACCTCTGCTCAGGTACGCCCCCCCGCAGGCCGCACAATGACACCTCTTGTCTGCGCTCCGGCCTCTGTCTCCTGCAGTCTGCCTCACAGCACATGTCACACGTTTCAGCGTTGGTTTGGAGCGACAGAGCCTGACTCTTGTGTTACTCATGTTCACGTCTTGATTCAGGGACAAAATGTTGAAATAAAAACCCCAGGATCATGTAGAGCAGGTTCAGACCAACACTGTCAGGTCAGAGTGAGGAGCCTGACAGCAGCAGGTACAGAGAGAGAGGCCACACTTTTTACACACAAAGTTGAAACCAGAGTGAATGGAACCTATGCACACTTTCTGTTTGGAGCGCTGCAGCTAGAGAGTTGCTGTGCCAATTTACATATCCAGTCTGTGGACAGAACCTGTGCTAAATATTTATTATAGTTTTACATCAGTTTGTGAAGAAAAGTCAAAAGTGGGCTACAAAAATATAGAAGTATGTCTGTTATGACCACTGTTGGGCAAGTTACTTTAAAACTGTAATGCGTTATTTATTACTTATTACTGTCATTTCCAAGTAATTCGTTACATTACAATATTACTGCATTTAAAATGTAAGGCATTACATTACTATTGCATTACTTTTAAGTTACTCTCACCAAAATAACTGTGAAGATGCTGAATTTTTGCTCCGTATATGGACTGAACCAGGACTAAACCAGGTCTAAACCAGAGCTGAACCAGAGCTGAACCAGGACTGAACCAGGACTATAACAGGACTAACCTCGGACTGATTCCAGGACTGAAGAGGAGGACTAAACCAGGACTGAACTAGGATTAAAACAGGACTAAACCAGAACTAAACCAGAACTAAACCAGAACTGACCCAAGTCTCAACCAGGTCTAAACAGCGTGGAGTTCTGCGGCCGTGTTTCACCGCTGTTGATATCGCAGTGATTTATGTGTATGAGGAAAAACCCACCACTTCAATCCAGGTTAAAAAGCATTGTAACGCGCGTTACTCACATTTGTACCGAGTAAAATATTACTATTTTTTTCCCCTGTAATGCCTTACATTACTGCGTTACAGCTAAAAGCAATGCATTACTGTAATTCGTTACTTTTATAACGCATTACTCCCAACACTGATTATGACTCGGCTCATTAGGGTCAAGGAGGTAACAAAAACCAAAGTGGAAAAATGGTAAATTAAAGAAGTAATTTAATTAACAGGAATTAACAGGTAAACTAAACAAAAAGGGATCTAAAATATTTATAGAAAAGGTCATTTACAATTTACATAAGAGTAACAAAGGGCAAGTTTAAGTTTAAGAAAACAAAGTATACAATAAAGGACTTGACAATCAAACACAAAGTCAATAGTGACAAATGAAAAGAGTCACATCAAATACAGAGACTTGACAGAGACACCAGAACACACACAATGACACAAAGCTCACAGTCCCAACAGGTGCAAACTGTCTTCTGAAACAGCTGAAGTGGGATTGGTCAAGTGTAGAGATCCCCCACCAATCAGAAACCAGCAAGCAGCAAACCCCCAGGTAGAGGCGGGCAGACAGTTGTCCAATCAGGCGTAAGGACTCACAGGACAGCTGCATAGAGAAGAGCGGAAATCACTGCCACACGGACAAATTTAACAATGACAAACTCAGGCTCCGAAAATGTGCTGTTTAAATCCATTTGGTATTTTTTCTTGAGTTTTCAGACTAGTTTTTGGCTGTTTGTTCATGTGTGCAGTAGCTGTGTATAGAACAGGCCCAGTGTGTGCAAAGTATCAACTGTGTCATTTACACACACTTTGGCTCTTGTTTGTTATGGTTGCTCAGTAACATTTATGGAATCAGTGCAGAAGTATTCTAACCTGTTCTGTGCACTTCAGACGCAGTCACAGCCCGCTGTGCCACTGAAGCCCCTCCCACTGCCTCATCGTCACGGCAACAGCATCACCCCTGAGGTCACATTCAACAGGTAACTCGTCTCTGCTCTTCGCTGCTCCTCTGGCTCTGCTCCTCATCACTGTTGTGATGTTTCAGACCTCCTCCTCTTCCTCCGATCGCCTCCTCTCACAGCAGCAGAGCATCTCAGATGGATCGACATGCACCTTAAAGCACCAAGGTACAAAGGATGCTGAAAAATGGAGTTCTGCCAAAGAATTTTTGCCTTTAACCAATGAAACTCAGGATTTATCACGAGGACTGTTCAGCTAATCAGAATGCAGCATGAACTGACGTCAGCCAATCCGAGCACTGTAGCGGCTCAGTTAGTCCTGATCAAGACCAACCTGCTGCTTAGTCCCAGTTTAGTCCTGGATCAGACCCTGGTCCAGAGGATGCACAGACTGTTCAACATGAAGAGCTGCAGCTGTCAATCAAACATGTTCAGTAATAAAAGTGTTTTGTATCAAAGTTTCTCTGGCTCTTTTTACTTCACAGCTTGAAAGCATCACCTCTGTGGTAGAAAAAAGTAAAAGTAGTAAAGTTCCGTGCTTAAGTATACATTTTAGGTATCTGTACTTTATTTAAGTAGATTTTAAAGTGGATTCTTTTTACTTTTGCTCCAATACATTTTTGTACAGGACTGAAAAATAAAAGTATTTTTGATTAAAGTTTGAGTTTATTTTTTAGCACATTCATAATTTGAGCAAACACAATCATAGAAATAAAAACAATTAACCACCATGTTCTACAGTGAGACATTAAACAGCTCTACCTTTACAGTTATTCATTTACAGGTGGTTTTAATTTCAAAAATACCTGGAAAAACAGGCCTTCTGACTGTGAGTGGGGTCGACTCTCCACAGATCTGACCTGTAACTCGGTTTGGTTTGGTCTCCATGAAGATATAAAGGCCATAAAGGCCATGCTGTTAAACACTCCAAAGCAATAACATGTCCAAAAACATTTGATGGACCCTCACCAGAAAAGTTTCACAATGTTAAGAGTTCAGTTTATTTTACAAATACATCTAAAATGAGATATTATTAAAACTGATATGTTGCCCAAATGTCAAGTATGGGCTACTTTTCTAACCATGAATAATCATACTATGAAAATCTGACTTTTTATTTTAGGTTAGGCCTCAGCAAAAAAGTCTATAAATAAGTCACACGGAGTACATTTGTAACAGATAAATGGAATGTAGGCGCATTAAAGCCACATCCAGATGATTGGAAATCACAAAAGTCAAGTATATTAAACTAGACTGGGCATGCCTGTGGCTGGTATCAAAATTAAAACTCACTGAGCTCTAATTTTGTGTGAAGACCCCAAGAAAAAATATGGAAAGATGTCTCAGTAGCACCACCTCAAAAATCTAAAAAAAAAAAAAAAAAAAGAAATCCTGTTAAGGTTCATGTAGACTGTGCACTGTTCCTGTCTCATTAAAATAAATAAACTAATCACTGGTCAAATGCACTTCAATTTAAAAATTCTAGGCATAATTTTGTGATTCATAAATCACTTTTATTTAGTTTTTTGTCAACAAAAATATGATGTTAACTCAAAATAATATTAAGACAATGTAAAAAAACATGCATCCAACAGGCATTATGGCACCCTGATCATGAAACATCATGTTTAGCAAAACATCATTTCAAACACATTTTACGACAACATCAATCTAAATAACAAAAATAAATTAATAGCAAAAATTAAATAAACGTTTGTTCATTAGTCACTGTTCAGGTTTTGGTACAAAAGTAAAGATATTTTTGTAACTCTATAAAAACTACAAAAATGTTTCACATTAATTTCAAAGAGAGATGGAGACAGTTTTTATCATTTTACCGTCAAACCGAATCTTTCTTATAATTCTAAAATACAAATGTTTATTATCTGTAAAGACACACATGGAAACTTCTGTCAGTGTTGTTAATCTTACACGAGTCTTTATGTAGAATCTTTCACTTTAGTCCCTTTTCATTGGAGCGCCCATGTGCCCATGTGCCACAGATTGGTGTTGGCGTGTGGATTGGCATGTTCAGCATTTCGTTCTGGGGTAGTAGTTAGTGTCTAATTTTTTTTATGTTTTAGCAAATGTTTATTTTTGCCTAATATGTTATTTCACCATCCGGTTGTTAGGGTTGGGATTAGGTTTAGGAGCAGATTGTTTGGTTAAGTTTAGGATGGATGAATACTACACTGAATACTAGTACTGCCTCAAAATGAAATGGCGAACATTTAGGGAGCCTGTGTGCTTTGTAGTGTGTGTACATTGCTGTGTGCGTTGCCTGTTGGTAGAGTGCTCGTCCTCTACCAACTGAGCTACGGTTGGTAGTTTGAATCTCACTCAACACAAAACATTGTTGGTAGAGCGGACAGATCCACAGCACACAAGTTGGTGGCGAGTTTTCGACTACTACAAATGAATACTGCTGTTGTATCCTTAGGCAAGACACTTAACCCACCTCAGCCCCAGTGTCTGGAGCCACTGGTGTATGAATGGGTGAGTGGTTCCATGAGTAAGGTGCTGTGAGCCTCGAATTTAGAAAGGTGTGTGATTGGCATGTGGACTGCTGTATTGTTGGCGCGTAGACTGGCATGTGATGGTTTGTAAATTGTTGTGTGATGGCGTATGATTCCTGTGTGCTTGGCGGTCCCTTGGCATGGCTTGCTTCACGGCTCCAGTCCTCCGTAGCACACGTACTTGACATGTAGGTATTCGTCGATGCCGTACTTGGAGCCCTCGCGCCCGAGTCCCGACTGCTTGTATCCCCCGAAGGCCCCCTCAGCGGCCGACAGGAGCCCCTCATTCACCCCCACCATGCCCACCTCCAACGCCTCCGCCACGCGCCAGATCTGAGACACGTCCCGTGAAAAGAAGTACCCTGAACACAGAACAGAACAAGGACTAAGCCAGGACTAAGCCAGGACTAAGCCAGGACTAAGCCAGGACTAAGCCAGGATTCAACAGTGGTAGAAGCATGTGCAGTAGTGAACTCACCCGCCAGACCCACATTAGTTGCGTTAGCGATGGCCACAGCCTCCTTCTCAGTGTCAAACCTGAAAATGACAAATATGAGATCAGGAATCTAAGCCACAACCTCGAGAATAACCACTCTGCCACAGTAACACAGACAGAACATGCACACTCCACTCAGAGAAATCAGGAGTCTAACCCACAACCTCCTCACTGAGAGAAGGAGAGGCTGACCACTCTGCCAGACCTGAGCACGGGCATCACGGGGCCGAACGTCTCCTCTCTGGCGCACAGCATGGCGGTGGTGACATCAGCGAGGAGGGTGGGCTCTACAAACGAACCGGCCAATCGCGAGCCTCCTTTCAGAACTTTTGCCCCCAGAGACACTGCGTCCGAGATCTGGTGTGCCACCTACAGGACAGAGAGGGGCAGTGCAGAGATGGTTTAATGTCACAGACCAGGACTAAACCAGGACTAAACCAGGACTAAACCAAGACCAAGGCAAGTCTAGCCCAAGTCTATCCCAGGTCTAAAACAAACCAGGACTAAACCAGGACTAAACCAGGACTAAACCAGGACTAAACCAGGTCTAAACCAGGTCTAAAACAGGTCTAAAACAGGACTAAAACAAGTCTAAACCAGGTCTAAAGCAGGACTAAAACAGGACTAAAACAGGACTAAAACAGGACTAAAACAGGACTAAAACAGGTCTAAAACAGGACTAAAACAAGTCTAAAACAGGACTAAAACAGGACTAAAACAGGACTAAAACAGGACTCTGCAGTGTTACCTTCTCGGCTGCTCTCTGGTTGATAAGTGGGCCTTGGGTGGTTGAGGGTTCCATTCCGTGACCCACTTTGAGCTCCCGGTCCATAGCCATGCTCACTTTCTGAAGGAATGCCTCATACACCCCGCTCTGCACCAGGATGCGATTTGAACACACACACGTCTGTCCAACACACACACAAGACTATTAACACAAAAATAAACTGCTGCTATCAAGTATTCACATGGAAAAAGAAGCTTCACACACACATGACCTGCTCACCACAAACCAACATCCTACTGCTACTACTGCTATTACTACTGTTAGAGAGCGAGAAATGCGTTTTCCAGGACAGGGAGCAGGGACCCCCTACTATATAGCATATGGCATACACTTGTGTTATATATATATATATATGGCCTTGTGTCATGCATTAACAGTTACTCTGTTATTGTATTGTTATTGTACATTTAATACTAGGGGAGTATTCCATCGAAGTGTCTTAACAAAATGTGACTTATTAAAAGATCTGATTAAATGAAAGAGGAGCCAAGGTGTCACAGACAAGAGTATGTTATAGGACATGGAACTTTTTTGGTCATTCTGCTCCGAGGAGTGAGAGAAAATACACAACTCTCCCTCCACTCCCGGTCACTCCCCCTCCACTTGGTTGCTCCCCCCTCAACTCCCAGTCACTCCCCCTCCACTCGGTCGCTCCCTTTTCTCTCCCGGTCGCTCCGTGGACAGAGAGGAGGCTGGTTGCAGAGTTTGAAGCCTGGTTAATACAGGCTGCCTGGTAATGAAGTTGCCTGACCCCTTCCCGATGTGCAGTAGTACATGTGGAGCTTAAGTTCCACTGAGCGGAAAAATTAAGCTGTAATGGAACTCTTCACATGTACCTAAGAAGAAACGATAAAATCCGCACCAAGGTGTTGACGGGAGTGAGAGACGAGGGAATGAAGAGAGAGACAGACAGACGTGATGAAGGAGCGACCAGACAGAAGCCACTGAAAACCACATCGTCCTCATCCTTCAAAAGATTTCACGACCCCACTGCAGTACCTCCGCAACCCCCTAAGGGCCCGACCCCCTGTTGAAGACCTCTCATATAAAGAGAGAAATAGAGAGAGAGATGAATGTGTGATATACGCATTAGCAAAAACAATTCAATAAAACTAAACAAAAGCTCCATGAAGAAGGAAATAAAGTGCTGAGTCACTGCTGGTAAATATAGAATGTCCAACAGATTAACATTAAGCGGCGTGATGATTCAGTAACGTGTAAATAACACTGACCTCATCTCTAGAGTGACTAAATAAATCCAATTCGAGAAGGTGAAGGCAAACCGCGAGCTCTGTCCCCTCACCTGTCCTGAGTTCCTGAACTTTGATGCCATGGCTCCCCTCACGGCGCGGTCCAGGTCCGCGCTGTCGAACACGATGAAGGGGGCGTGGCCTCCCAGCTCCATGGAAACACGCTTTACTGTGTCGGCGGCCATCTTTAACAGGAGCTGAGGACGAACCAGAACAAGACGTGATTCTGATACACAATGTTGAAATGAAATGTGTTCTGAAACAGACACTCATTTAACAGAAAAGACAGAAACAAGACTTAAGCATTAGAACTAGTATAAGATCACATGGTAATATTAAAATAAACTAATATATATTTTGCTGAAAATAAAATCAAAGGAGCATTAACTGAAACCCTGTATGAATGAAAAGAATCCTATGCTTTTCAGTTTGTAGTTTGTCTAAACTACAGGGTTAGCAGCTTTAACACTGAATAACACCCCATGGAGACACAGGGAGGGCATCTGACACACAGGAACATTTCAGAGCATGTTTGAAGAGGTCCAAAATACAGGGTAAGCAGCTTTTACAAAGAACAAGACCCATGGAAATACAGGAAGGGCATTTAACACACCGGGAGGGCATCTGACACAGTTCTGTACCTTTCCAGTTGCTGTGGAGCCGGTGAAGGAGATCTTGGCCACCAGGGGGTCGGTGCACAGGACCTGCCCCACGGACGGTGTGTTTTCTCTGGAACATGGTACCACATTCACGACCCCCTCTGGAACTCCAGCCTGCTCCGCCAACTGAAAACAATCAACAGAAAATGACATTCATAACAGGAAGCAAAAACCCATGAACAGAGCACTTTCAAATATGAACCTGCTCCACGCACATGATCCTGACGTTTTATATTATGCTTTTGCCTAATTGCTACATGGCTTTTTATTGAAAAGGTGAAAGAAATGATGCCAGTAAAAACGAGCCTTTAGGCTAATTTGGGAACATTTACATTAGTGTAATGTTTATTACTGTACACTGTTCCACTGAAAAACTAAAAGAATAAACAAATAAACTATTGTTTAAGATATAAACATGAATAACACCAAGGTATTAGCATTAGCAACAGGTTTGATTGACAGCGCTGGTGAGCACTCGTGCCCTGCCAAACCAGAGGTGCAGGCAGGAAGAGGCGCCACCATCATCATCCTCACTTGGCTCCAAATGCGCCGCTATAAATGCTAGCCTCGATGAGCTTCATTTGGAGCTGAACGCTGAGGGTGACGTCACACTCCCTTTGTCCACGTCTTTATACAGTCCACGGGTCACACAAGTCTGAAAATACACGTAAACTACATGATGTGTTGTGTTTTTGCTGCTGGACTGACCTCGGCCAGAGCGAGCGCTGAAAGGGGCGTGTCCTCGGCCGGTTTGATGACCACGGTACAGCCAGCAGCCAGCGCGGCACCAACTTTCCTCGTGATCATCGCACTTGGGAAGTTCCACTGAAAAACACACAAATCTACTGTTAAAAACAATCTGACATACAGGGAGGGCATCTGACACAATCTGATACATCTGACACACAGGGATACAGGATGACAGGAGGACATCTGACACAGACAGACACTAGAGGACACACACGAGGGCGTCTGGCGCACCGGCGTGATGATGGAGGCCACGCCCACAGGCTGTTTGAGGAGCAGCATGCGTCGGTCTTTAAAGGGCGAGGGCACGATGTCGCCATAGACTCGGCGCGCCTCCTCAGAAAACCAGTCCAAGAATGACGCCGAGTACAAGATCTCCCCCACGGACTCCGATAAAGGTTTACCCTGAGGACAGAGAGCACCTGTGAGACCACACACCAGACCAGAGACCAGACAGGACACCAGAGGCCAGAGACCGGACACCAGAGGCCAGAGACCAGACAGGACACCAGAGGCCAGAGACCGGACACCAGAGGCCAGAGACCAGACAGGACACCAGAGGCCAGAGACCGGACACCAGAGGCCAGAGACCAGACAGGACACCAGAGGCCAGAGACCGGACACCAGAGGCCAGAGACCAGACAGGACACCAGAGGCCAGAGACCAGACCGGACACCAGAGGCCAGAGACCAGACAGGACACCAGGGACCACTCACAGATTGGTCAAATCTGGGCACACTTCACTGGAAGTTGGGTGATTTCTAGCTTTTTTTTTTTTTTTCAATTTTTAATTTTGCCACAATGCTGACTGCACTGGAACTAGAACTTATATCATAACAAGATTTCACTAAAACCACTTTTTCCCCACATATATTAGTGTTTGGCAAATACAATAATGGGTCCGGTCAAGCAGTAACGGAGGGAAACGGGCAGATTTTTGACATTCAAATGTCTCTTATTCAGAAACTAGAGGGACTATTGAAATAAGTAAAGTATCAGAATGTAGGAAAGAGTTAACACTCCAACAGGGTCAAGTTAAACCTGTGATATTCTTTCAAGTTATTGACAAAATTTTTTTAAAAATCATGTCGGTAACGGAGGGAATGAAATATGCAGCACTTTTTGGGCAATAAATCCAAACAGTGATAACTCTTGGTTCTCACTTCCATATCCTTAACAAACTGGTTTGAATATTTGCTTCATATAGTTTTCTACCATATGGTACAAGATTAGGTTGAAAAACCTCTTACTTTTTGACTAATGAGATTTTTTATTAAGAAAGATCATGGTAATGGAGGGAAAAGTAACGGAGGGAAAATTGTGCAAACAAGTAGAAGGTGCAGGATTTTGCATAATTTGTTGCTTTTTTCTTCCGAAAACTTTAATATGACTTCAAAATGAAAGGAAACTATTTCTATAAAATATGTCAGTCCTTCCAAGCTAATTTTTATCATTTTAAATCATTTTTTTTTTGAAAACTCGTGTACCTTCATCAACAGTTCAAAGATGGCATAACACAAGATATGATGAAATACATCCATTTATTTACATGATTTTCAGGTCTTTGAAATTTGGGAAATAATTTTTGTTTCATGTTTCATACATGGTCTGTTTAAAACGTATGGAACTTTTGAACCAAAAATGGTACAGAAAAAAGGTCAACAGTTTCATAAACTAGAGTACATATGTATCTGTTGAATCCATTTTTATATCAGATGCATTAACTTCAATTTTTGGCCTTGCTGTTTACTTCTGCTTGACCGGGCCCTAATGTTAACACCTTTATTTTGTTGAAATATTTTTTTAAGACTCAGAAAAATGTGTTGTAACAAACTTTGTGCCAAACTTTTGGACAGATTTCTCATAGTGTGATGTCACCAATATGGAACTCTCTAAAATAGAAGTCTCTATAGAACTTTGGACTTTTCTTCACAAACTACTTCTTGATTTGTGTAAAACTTATACAACAGATTTTATACTACAAGTTAAGTACAAATTAAAGAATCATAATCTCAAAACCAGGCCCTAACCACAAGCAGAATCCTAAAGTCCAGTCAACATGGGATTATAAATCCTTCAGCTTCAGCTGCTCCAGTGAAACTCACAGACTCAAAGGTGATGATTTTGGCGAGATCATCTTTGTGTCGCATCATCAGATCAAACCACCTCCTCAGCACCAAACTCCTCTCCTGAAAAACAGCAAATCATCTCAAAATATCAAATCATTCCAAAGGTGTAAAAACATGTAGTGTGACCCGCTCTGCACTCACTCTTTTACATTTATTAAATAAACTACTTTGAAATATATGTGAGTTTGTCATTGGAAAACACTGGTGTGTGGAATAGTGGAATAAAATTAAACCGTGGCAATACAGTGTTAAAAATCATGATGTAATCCCTGTGACAATGTTTTTTTGACGTGATTATCAGAACAGCCTCTGTTGCGCTAAGTAGAATGAATGACAGGTGGATTTAACCAATCACAGTGAAGTGTGGACTGAACTGTCAGAAGCAGAAGTAGATTTATTCTTCTGAATAAAAGGATGTGGGGACACCCATTGACTTCTGAGATCAAATCTAAATTGTGATCTATCAGATGTGATGTTATTTTGTCATATATTAACATATCTGTACGTGCACGTGCTTTCAAAAGGTTTTCTTGTTGATCCGTGGGTCACACACGTCATTCACTTTGTCATTGCGCAATGTAAAATCAAAATGTTCTGACTCTGTCTGGTGTTTACTCTTTTATAACTGCGCCGGTTCAAAGTAAAGTCAAACTCGACACAGGCTTACGAAACGCGCCTGTTGTTTGTTGAGGACGTTCTTGTGCAGTAAACACACAATCTGACATGCAGCGTTCTGACCGCTTTGGCGGAAGACGTTACGCACTTTGGCGGTGAACTGTTTCCAGGAGTGAAAGGCTTCGTACGCGGCGTCCACGGCTCGCTTCGCTTCTCCGGGGCCGCAGTCCGAAACCCGCACCAGCTCCTCTCCTGTGGCCGGGTCCAGCACCGGGAACACGGAGGCGGCAGAGGTCCAGCCGCCGTTTATGTACGCCTGTGTCCGGAGCAGAGGAGCGGCCACGTCCAGACTGTGAGCCCGTCTGACCGAGTGCACAGCCGGGAGCAGCCTCCGGCACACGGCCCGGGCTCGGAGCGCACACACGGCGGACATAACTGCAGCCAGAACCGAGGACCGGAGCGCCCACCTCCGGTTAGAGCTGGTCCACGTTAGTCACGTGACGCTGCACGAACACAACGACGCATGGCACTGTAAAAAAATACACCCCAGCTACACTGTAAAAACATGTCCTGGTGGTGCACGGGTTTGAGAGGGCAAATGTGGATCTATTCAAACAATTATGCTTCTTTTCACAGCTCCTTTCGCCTAGGAACCTCGGGAAGTTCCTAAGGAGCTATGAAATATCCCACAATCCACTGCGCAGATCAATCCAAATGTTTCCAAATACTCATTTACAGTTCTACACTGCAGCAGATCATTAATTAAATAAACTCAACTTTACAACATAT